ATTTAAGTATACATGCTTGTTTGTAATACAAAAAACTGCTCATGTTATTTTGATTATTGTCGTCATTTTTATAAATCGTGGCTTCATCAACACTTTCTAAAACTTATATTTAAGAACTATTAAATTAATTTTGGTACTCCAGTCATTAATGTAACAAAACGATTGTGTACAATTATTTTACAATTAATAATGTTAAGGAAACCATTAACAATACTTAGAAGTATCTGCTGCCGTTAAAGAAACATTACTTTTTATTACATTGTTACATTGTATTACTAGTAATTGTCTAGACTAGACTATACTTTGAACAAAATGTATTCCCGTAATTGACATACTATTTATAAATATGCTTATATTTGAATACTTTTCCAGTTAGTTTTCTTGTTCATACCAAAAAGTCGACGAAGAGATAATTTAAAATTAATTTGTACTTAAAAAAATATATAATTAGAAGAATTAAAAGAAAATAGATATTGCAGAAGTTTTTATAGTAACTAGAATTCTTAATTCCCAGGGATTCCAGGGAATAATTATTCAGTTTTTCAACCTGTTTATAACTATGTTTTAAGAGTTTTATATCTTTAAACATTTTTAGTTATTGCGAAAAACTGACGCCACCACCGTTTTCAATGATTTTGATCACTTTCATATTTTAGAAGTTTTCCTTGGTAACATTAAAAAATCTTAATCTTAATCTTAATCTTAAAGATACGACAATTTTTTAAAATTAATTCATTTCCCCTAAATTCAATTCTGAAATCTGTTTAAGGGGGGTATATTTGTATTAAGCGTTTTTTTTTTAGTTTGTTTTATACACTTTGACATAGGTACCTATAATGCATAGGTTTTGTTACTGAATTATCGACCACAGTTAGTTTTATCAGCACAATATACTACCACTACCTCTACCATTAAGTAAATGCAGTAGGTATCTTACCCAACACTATATTTCAGAATCGAACTTAAATATATTTCAAGAGCAATAAAAACTAAATTAAAAATAATAATAATAGGAAGGTTCATTGTATACAAAAATCATATTTACTCAAATATAGAATTTATTCAACACTGACTAATATTGGCATATTAAATCTGTGGTAGATATTATAAAAGATCTTACACTGTATTATGTGTATTACATAGTTTTTTTTAATTTCTCTATTCTTTTTTGAGGACTATATTTACACGGCAAAATCTAAATATTATTAGTTTATTAGGTTTGGTCTAAAGTTTAGACCAAAATAGTTTAGACTCCAAACTATTTTACTATTTCCTTTCATTCGACCAAATCGTTTAACGTTTAACATCCATAAGTTTTCTTGTTTGTGATTCAATTGATTTAGCAATGAATGGGTTTCTGTAGTGAAATGTAATTCATCCATAAACAATTAAAGACCATCCAGGGATTCTTGAAAGCCGGTTCTGCATTGACGGATATAAACTGATAAGAGCATTACAACCAACTTTGTTAAGCATTAGTCTACAAATATAGCAGTTCTAGGTTTTATGCAATACCTTTGTCTGTGGACATACAAAATGCATTTCCTCGCATTTATATCTAATCATCAAACAAAGGAATATCGTGAGTGTTACTTGGTACAATGCTGCTTAGTGATAATTAGGACAAATCATTCATTTATCATAGTTTTTTCTCTGTTCATTTATTGATTTTGGTAAGAAATAATAGAATTATAGAAGTTTTGAAGTACTTCAATACAACGACATATGTTTTTTATTTCCCTTCTTTCTTCAGTGTGAGATTTTTGGTTAGGCAAAAACAGTAATAAACAATCATTGATCCTTTTGGAGTTTATTCAATTAATTTTTACATTTTTTTTTTCAAAAGTGAGTCGTTTCATAATGTTATACATGAATCTATGTGTGGCTCGATTTTTTCAAGGTTATTTATTAATTATAATTATTGTTTATACCTATAATATAAATTGACAGTAATTTTTGAGATTGTACAAAATTAAAGAAAACTCATTTTTCAAAAGTAAAAGGTTTAAGTATATATAGGTGCCTCAAAATATTAAAATCCTAAATAAAAATACTAATACTAAATAATATTAAACTAATGTTAATCAACTTAATAAACTGTTATTTAACAGCTTTTCATAGTGCCTAATTAGGTTCTTTGTCCTTTACAAAAAAATAAATGTAACAAATAGTCTACAAATAATATTAACGGACATGTTTGGTTGTTATCTCTGAAAATGGGTATCAAATTGACCATCAGCATACCTGACAAACATACTTGTTTCTCTAGTATAAAATTTGACTATATTTATGTAAAACTTGAACCATTTACAAATTTTAATAGTTGTTTTACAACGGCAAAGAACAATAACATTTCGTAAATTATGTAATAAAAATGGTACTTATGTAGAATAAATTGCTGCTTTCTACCAATTCTTTAAGCTTTAATGTGTTAAAAATGGAAAGTTGTATTCCTTTGATGCAATGACAATGATATTGTGTCTTATTCATTTTTTATACAAATTGCATTTCTACGTAAACATTTCTTACCGAGTAGTTTATTTATATAAAAACAATCTAATAAATTTCAAGTATTTGTTGAGGATTATTATGTATATTAAATTATCAATATTTTGTTGAACGCATAATTTATGGGAAAATAATGAAGAACTTTGATTTCCAATCTCGCAATCTCGCTACCTATAACAAGTGTTTTTATGTACCCACTCATTTTCCTATAAAATACAGCATACATTATCTATGTGTATAAATTTAAATATTACATTGCTTTTTAATACGGTATTTTTTAAATTTTGCGAACATATATACATTTGCCATAATAACGATCACACTATATATTTTGAAATATTCTTGCACTGCACTGTTTTACCGATAATTATGAAATAGTAACATTTGTTTGCACCATGTTAGTTCAATAACGCCAGATGTATTGCAAAGTTCCAGGTCCTAACAAATTATTAAGCAACACACGCAGAAATGAATATGCAACATCTAATTATTATGGCTTGGAATATTCATTGTAAAGGTCGTATCTGTGTTACATACATGGGAAAATTAGGTTATGTTCGAATTCGAAATGTTCCACAAAAATATCTAGATGCCATATTGAATATAAAATTGAATTTTGCAATTCTTGCAGAAATTGTATAATGAAGGTACTTTGAAATTTAAGAAATAAAGTCATTTAATTAAATAGCATAGCTTATTGAAAATTATAGTATTTAGGTTGGTATACAGGGGGTCAGGAAGCGAATGGGACATTCTTCAATATGAAAATAAATAGATTTAGATTAAGTTACGCTTCCTTAAAAAGATATCGGCCTTCAAAACTATTTTTTAAACTTTTTTAACTTCAAAATTTTACTCTGAAGGGAGAGGTAGCAGGATAAGAGTTTTACTTAAAACATAGAAATCGTTAAGAATATTCGTCTTTTTATTTACTTTAAAACTCTATTCAAAGACCAGTAAATTTTACTCATCTGCTAAATTTACGTTTATAATAAAATATTTCTTACGAGAGACTATTAAAAAAAATCTACCCTTCCTCAAAGTTTCTACTAAAAAATATGTCAAAAACCTAATACTGTTTAAAATGTTAGCGACGTCTATGTGTTGGATAAAAAATTACATTTGGTTACGCTAAACCTACCCCTGCGTATAATTTTATTGGTATCTTTAAAAAATTAAATAAAATTGTTTTATTGAAGGTAGATAACTTCTTCAAGTAGCAAAGTTGTAATATGGTAACTTGAATTAAATCGTTTATTTTCACAAAAGGAAGCTACCCTTGATGTAAGGTCATTTCCAGACATCCTGTATGGGAGTAAAGAATTACTTTTTTTTGTAGTACACCTTGAACTTAAATGAATAGGTATTCCTATAGCCTTGGTATTAAATTATGTATTTATTTAAAACCTGTCTCAGTGTTGTCGGCTTTGGGAATTACAAAAATTATTGCAGTTGAATAGTGATCGCTAGGAGGAATCTATAGGTACATTTTTATTTTAACTACTTATGATTTTATTATCTATTTAACTTTCACCTACTAACAAAAAAACTTGCAAATGTCGGTAACCTTTACAAAATTTTTTGATCACAAAGTATTTCTGAAAAAATAAAAGTTATAAAAATATATCTATACAGGGTGTTTCTAAAATAAAGTGCCAAAGTAGGGAAGAAATATCATTTTAAGCAAAAAGTTTCTTAAGACCATGAATTCAAAAATGTTTAATGAAAAAGTTTACTGCCAACGGAAAAATAGTTTTTAATAATTGAGGGCTATTTTTGTTAAACAGATTATGTGTGGTAATTTTGGTAAAATTAAGTAACTTTTACCTACCTACCTGCAACGTCTTCAAGACAATTAATTGGAAAAAACCTTTTTTAACTTTAATGACACCTACATAATCCGAAAATCTAAGGTGATATGAAGCGCTTTCATATTTTGCTAATGTATTGTACCAATTGTAATTTGAAAAAAGTTATTAAGAAAATTGGTGGTAGAATTTTCTAATATTATATTCAAGAACTAGGTACTGAAATTTGGAAGCTAATAAAAATAATTCACGTTCATGTTGGATAAAAAATATTTTAACACTAATGTTCTTACCAAATATTTTTCTTAATTTAACCGCTAAAATATATCAGTATATTTTTTTTAAGATAAAAAGGTTTCTAAATTACCCCCTGCATCTCTGCCACTGTAAATAATCTCCAAGATTCCTGCAATTGAAATCTAAAGAGTTGCACCGAGTTACATTTGATTCGAATGATACGCCTTTACAACTATTTCCATATAAGTATGCTCGCACATGTTTAAAATTAAATAAATAAATAAATAAATAAGTCCTTTATAACAACTAAGCCTAACCATGCTTACAGGGTATTTTTTACTTAAAATCACATTGCCCAGATCCTATTTCAGTTTGTTATTTTTTTATGTTTTCATCTGACACCTAATAATGTTTCCACTGTTATTAAAATTGTATATTTTCTTTCAGTTGCAGATACCATGTTGTCCGATATGGAAGAGATGCCCACGATCAAATTGGGCGACTACGTTTTGCAAATGGAACTAGAAGAACTGAAACCTGAAGTACAAGAAATTGCAAGGAAGGAACTCAGGGAAACTCCCGACGTCAAAAGGGAAGCTGTTATAGAACTTAGGGATATTTTAAAAGGTAGTTTCAAAAACAAGTCTACATTTTTACGTCGATTAATAGCTGTTTTCGCGTAGATGTTTTCGAATATTAGTAATTAAATAGTTATGCTAGGTTTTTCCTAATACAAATATGTCATTTGGTATTATTCCATATATCCATTAGATTCGAGGATGAAGTCGAAGGTTACTTCGAACAATACGTTAAATTTGATTTTAAAAGCAGCAACCACCTTCACATCTAAAAAACTGTTAAAGTGATATTATGTACAGGGTGATCACGCAAAAATTGGCATCTGCTTTTATGTGATTTTAGAAGAATGGACACACCTACAACAGAGATAACTCAATGTAGTGGTTTTGAGATCCTAACTTATGTATTTTTAAGTGTAACATTTTATACGTATATTTTTAGTTCATTGTAAAGACCGTCAGAAGAGTTTTTTAAACATATTTCACTTTACAAACTTTTTTTCTGGGGGACGTGGTATTCGAGATACAGGGTATTCAAGTTTCCAAAAAAATATATATTTTCGGTCATATCTTCATATTGCGCTGAACGATTTGAATGAAATATATTACAGCGTATTTACGTAATTAGAATGAAATATTAATCTCCTGACATTAACCAGTGGCGTGCTACTGAAGGTAGGTCCCAAGAAAAAAATTCGCCACTGGTAATTTTTTGTAGAAATAATATTAAATTCAGTGGCCTATTGTTTTCTTGGGAAAAGTTGGCGGACATATTAATAGCACGTCACTGGTTAAAACCAGGGGGTTTTCATCAAATAAACGGATTAATTTATAAAGAAAATTCAATACAACGTAAAAACAAGAACAAATATCTCCTAAATGGCTGCTACTATTAAAAAACATTTTTCATTCATTTAACGTAACAGTACCGGTATGTAACATTATTTCTACAAAAAAACACCAGTGGCGTATTTTTTTCTTAGGAAAATGAGGGGCCACCTCCAGTAGTACGCCACTGGTTAAAGTTATAAGGTTAATATTACATTCAATAAAAGGTCTAATTAAGTGAATACGCTGAGTAAATTTCATTCAATTCCGTCAGCACATTATGAAGATATGGTAAAAAATATATTTTTTTGTAAACTTTAACACCCTGTGTCTCGAATATCGAGTCCAATAGGAAAGAGTTTATAGAGCAAAATCTACTTATTTTTTGGTAATAAATCTAGTTCTGCAGTTACTGTATTTAAAGTGACATCAACCTGTATAAGATGCTTTATCGTTAACAGTTTTCGAAATATTACGTACTTATTTATTATTAACATGTAACATATACGGGGTATTTTGTAAAAAAAATAATTGATTTTCTGCAGGTATTGGAAAAAGTTAAGATTTTAAATAATCCAAGCGATTTTAATTGAAAATGCTAATTTTAAGAAACGAACAATTTTATTTTCCATATCGCCATCTTCGTGTAATATTGTTGAATTTTTTTATTTTTTAAATATTTTCTTGTATCTTATTGGTGTTCTAAAAGCTCGTTTTAAAGGAAAAGTTCAATGGGCTTAGGTATACTCTCGCTTAAAAAATAGTTATTTTTAATTTTTTGTTTTATTTAGTACATTTTTTATGCACTGTAAGTAAATTGACACTATATCGTACCTTCTTGACTTTTCTTTCTTGTCTCGATAAAGAAAAAGTAGCAATTTTCGCATGATACAAGGTTTCCCGTCGCAAATAATCACCCTTGTAACTTTTTAATTTTTGACTTTATGAAGCATTCATCTATAGCTCCACCTTTAAATAAGATACATTGGACAAAACTAACATGGTTAGAAAGATTTTAGGTGAAACGCCATATAGAATTTTTGTAATATTTAATATTTAATTTAAGTGTTATTAATTTCTCTTTATTAAAACTATTTTAGACTAAAATATCCATAATGTAGGGATTAAATTTCATCGAGAGAGCCTTTACAAATTTATACTTTTAACTGAAGATATATAACTTATTGCTAAAAAATCTAGAAAAAAATCCAATTTCAAATAAATATGATGTTTCAATCTACATAAAAAAATTAGATAAATTTGGAACGAATACACTGAAGATGAATTTTTCGAGACAAAACGTCTGAATCTGGTTGGACTGAGGCAGTGCAGCATTGGGGGTCATTAAGGTTTGCAAAAAATGTAATAAAATTTCTAGGATCCTATTTAAAAAAATGAAGTTGATGATGGTCCTGGAGAGGCGAAACGTTACATATAAAAATTGATTATGCCATTCGATAGAGGGCAAAAAGTGGCCATGAGAAAGTGTTCTTCTTTTTTCAATATCGCCTGAAACAAGGCTGAAATGAAACAAAAACGGATTTCCAAAATTTCGTTTTTTTTTCAAATATTTTGAAAACTAATCACGTTAGCCTTGATTTTTTAGAGGCATAATGTTGGTCCCCTAATTACGCAACTTTGCCCCCATTTAAGCTACTTCGTACCTCTTACCGTTTCCGAGATTCCAGTAGTGAGAAGCGAATTTGTAACAGCCTGTATATCTAATTTAAAAACCTCTGCGCTCTATTTTCTTACTTTACTATATCGCCATTGAAAAAGTCTTGTAATGTGCGTCAAATGACAATTAAAGTTTCTAGGTAGCACATTTAAATCATTAACAACACTAATTACATTAACTATTATTGATATTAAACAAGATGCTATAAAATCATTCTTTAATTGGCCTTTAAATATACACATCACATATTTCAGTAATTTCTAACATTTAAAAGAAAGCGATATTGATAACTTTTTTAGTTGTTTGTTTTAATAATTAAAATACTACATTAGAAATACGTATTCAGGGACAAATAATTTTGATATCAGAATGTTGCTAATCATAAAAAAGCATATCTGGTTGTTAATATAACAAAAACTATTAGAATAAATTAGGATATATTTCATTAAAAGTAACGTTATCAAGTACATATATACATATTTCTATGGAAATATGAAGTTTTAAATAAATATATTAAACAATAATTAAGTAACGATATAGGGAGTGTATAATTTTTAAAGATTTCCCACATTATAATTCAAATACATCTTGTGTGAATACTTAACAATTCGATTAGGAAACTTTTGAAAATTGTTTTCAAAATTGTGCACTCTAGTATAACTTAAATTATTTATTTTTCCAAATGTTAATGTACTAATGCAACTAATGTATTATTTTTCAGAGGAAAAAGACTTGCACGTGCCCTTAGACAACGACATTTGGTTAGTAAGGTTCTTAAGACCTTGTAAATTCTATCCAGAAAGTGCACGAGACTTGGTAAGCAATTTTTGAATTAGATATATATTTTAAAAATAATTGCACTAGAGAAATTTTAAAGCAAAATAGTATTTATTTATATTGATTCAATCAAATCATACCTACTAGTCTTAGCTCTAATGTTTCATCCCCTTCCAAAGTCACACAGACACAAACAAGAAATTAAAAGATTGATATCTTGTTACTGTTAATAAAAATTCACAATAATTAACTTAATACTTAATACTTAATACTTAATAATTAATTGTCTAATAAGGTAGCACACAATATTTTATAAATAACAAGTTATCGAATAAAAAAAGTCCATCTCGACCATCCATAAAACGGTTTTTGAAATGCAGATTTTTAGTTAAATTCCATAGATTGCGTTAACAGTTATAGTGTTATTGATGTACAAACTCGCGGAACTTGGTAGAATCGCATTCCATTCTGTGTTTGTAAGCTCTTGCAATAAAAACCAGTTGCATTAGATTCCCGTTAAGGCAATAAGGAAAAAGAAGGAAACCGAAGAAATCGGTTGAATGATTACTTGGTGCAAGGTGCTATGAATATTTATAGAAGCGTTTGTGTATAATTAAACAAATAAACAAAACAATGGGAAAAATAATAATTAGGTTTTCAAATTTGGTCAATTTAGACAAAATTCGAGATATAAACTTTTGGTACTATATTTTACGTTTGTGATAGGTATATTTGAGGATTTAGATAATGTTTTCAATCTTCTCCAATCTTTACGGTAACAGTAACTGAAATATATTGATAATAAAAAAACTTAATGGTTTAAAATTTCCTGACAAATTCTGTTACATGCTAAAAATGTTGTTGATTTTAACTATAATTTTTAAGCAATCCATTTTTTAATGTTCAAGAAATTTATAAACCTGCTTGTTCTTCAAACAATGTGACCTCATTCTATTGTTTTATAGTCGTCGTATGTTTTATAATCATTGAGGAAGATGAATTGGTTCAGTGATATATGAATGTTAAATAGAAATTATTGAGAAACGTGTAAATAATTTCTAATCTGCAGTTATGCTTATCCATTTCTGATATTAATAAGTTTGAAGATAAGAATATTTTATTTTTTATTAAAATATTTAACTAACGCTTAAAGTTATAGTTGATATGATTTTGTAATTTTTTAAAGAATTTTGCTCAATGTACTGAGATAATAAAATACGATGGGATATTTCAGAAATTATTAAAATTAGAAAAAAAACTAGTTGCAAGTTCTGTAGTTTAATTTCAAGATACGTATCTTTATTTGGTTTCGAGTTACTAGGCTATATTCACTTTTTACATTTATATGTAACAAATAGTGTTTTTTCGAAAAAATAGGAAAAAGAAAGACACATTTGAAATAGATATGCTCGATTTTTTCAATAGATCTAACCTATTGACAACCACTGACTTCACTGTGGTATTTGCCTGTAATTTGTCTATTTTGAAAGGGAGGCAATTGTGCAATGCTTGATTTTGTCTGTTTGAAATAGGAAGAAAACCATTAATTAAACGGGCATTTTCACAGACTATATATCAAAGAAATTTAAAATTTGTGACCTGTTATTCAAAACTAGCTTATAAATGTTAAATTGTTCACAAGATTTTCGAGACGAATCTGGATAATTCTGTACTGGTGGGCAGTATTTCATTTTATTTAAATCATATTTTTATACAAATGTCAAATTATGACAATTCAATGAATATGCTTTATACGAATATTGCTCTTTTTACTTTGTAGAAAATGAACGTACATCACATCACTTTAAAAACACGTAAATCAACAACTACATGCTATTTATGTTTTACAACTCTTAGAACATAGTTTGAACATTGCATTTAATTTGTTTAATTAGTATGGTCTATCGTTTTTATATTAGTATATTTATATTTAGTTATGAAATAGAAATTGACATTTCTATAGCCGTGAAAATATTTCTTTAAAAACGTTTCATGAAAGTCTTGTAAATTAGAGGAACATGATATATAAATTGCTTCCATTTTTTATAAATGAAACGTATCCGAATGAAAATATTTTTTAAGAAAAAAGTATATTACGCGAACAGCGTACATAATATGCCAATGTATGTGAAATCTTAATAGGATAGGAAAGTTTGCCATGGTCTATCGCACATTGTTATAAAATAAAAATTTAATGAATATTTGGCAAACACTAATAGATTAAGACCTTCCGTCCGGTCTAGATACGCGTCTGTTGACACAAGATAAAGTGGCATCAACATAAATAACAATAATGCAGATGATAAACTCATTTCCATAAACAAATCAAATAATAAATGATATTGATCGCCAAATCTTTATTACTAATTGTTTAAAGAATTAATTAAATTATTAATGAATAACTATTTATCTGATTGTGAGAATGTGTATTAGTGTTATTAAATTTACATGTATTCAGAAGTGTGGTAAAAAGTGAAAAATAGAATCTTACATGTAGTAAATTTTGATTTAGTTACCTTCTCATTTCTGCTTTGTCAGAACACTGAAATTAAAATCCATATATTTAATGATCTGCTATTATAGATATTTTATAATTTCAACTGTTCAGACTCTACCTAATCCTCATAATTTATTATTACCACATTAAGTGTACCAATTTTATAAAAAGATGGTTGCCTTGGATCAGGTACTCAATATTCCATATTTTAAGTTTAAGCTGCTATTAACCAATAACATACGAATATTCAAAATTAAATGTAAATGCAACCATTTGCCAATTTTTTTAATTAATATTTGCAGGATATATTTCTAATGCCATAAACAAAACAATAAAACAGTATACCTGCCTTCTGTCAGATTATCTTTGTCATCTACTAACATTATTTTGATAAATTGCATGTCCTCTCTAATTGTCACTCTATTTTCTGGAGGTCAAAATAACTTGTCTGCACCCCTCAAATATCTCAATCCTTAATTGTTCAAATAACTGGAGACAACTTTAGTATTACTTTTTAATTAATTAATGAATTAAATACTTATTGAAGAAATACTAGTTTATTTGACAATCATTCGCTAAATGAGGAAAAATAGATAAAAAGGAACTCAGACTCATCTGAAATATTTAACGTAACACAAAAATAATACATAAATATTTAACTTGACACTTACTAATATCAAATCCACTTAAAATATGGAACTATTAGGTACATTAAGCAAAAATTTCAAATACAGGAATTGTTATGAATTTTTTGAAATCTCTATTTTTTTTAATCTCATTCGTGATTTGCCCAAAGATATAAAAGGAAAATAATTAGACACATGTTTTCAGAAGTGTGGAGAAAAGTGAAAAAAATCTCACAGAGACTGAATGTGAAATACATACATTTAATAATTCACCAATATTTTATAGTTCCAAGTTGTTCAATGCTGTTCAGATTGTATACCCTAATTATCGTAACTTATTTTACCACATAATAAGAATACCAATTTTATAAAAAAATGGTTGCCTTGGATCAGGCATTCAATATATTGTCCCATATTTTAAGTTTAAGCAACCATTACCCAATACTGGGTCAATAACATATGTAGGTATAATTTAAATCCAATCATTTACCATATTTTTTTAATTAATATTTTTGCAGAACTTTTCTAATACCATAAAACTATCAAATATTATAGCTGCTTTATGCGATGTTATCTCCGTCATCTACCGTCATTAAATTGCGTAATCATCTCTGATTGTAATTCTGTTTTCTGGAGGTCAAAAAAATCATTTTGCTTTGTCTCTCGTACTTATATGTTAATTATTAATAATTCAGATAACTGGAGATACCTAATAGTAGTATTACTTTAATTCATTCATAATTACATAACTTTTATCTCCTTTATTCTCTTAAGAACCACTCTACTTTTTTAATAGTTGTTGACACATAAAATATAGAACTAAATATTTGGTATATAAGTAAAGCTGGAAAAAAATTTCAAGCACAACAATTATTGTTAATTTTTTATAATCTAGGTATAGTAGCAAAATTTAGTACAGTTAATATAAAAATTGCACATTCGTAATGAAATATTCTGTATATTTATGTTCTTTAATACATCTCAAAAAATGTAATCGTTATTTACTTAAAGATATGAAAGAGGACGTAATATTTTTGATAAAGAAAACATTTTTTTACAAATTTTTAACACATTCTTATTCTTAATACACTATTAGAAACAAATTGAAACAGAGAAATAAAGTAGGTATATAAAATCTTTCTTCAACACCATATATTTTTTTGTTTCAGATAAAAAGGTATTATCAGTTCAAAGTAAAACACGCCGATATGTATGATGGCCTTTTACCAAGTAGAGAACGTAACATTTTCCAACAAAATATATTGACCGTACAGCCAAACAGAGATCAGCTAGGTAGAAGGATTTTAGTCATAGAATTAGGAAGTAAGTACCTCCGATTAATCTATAGTTATAAGTATTTTTGAACGGAGCCCAAAGTTCAAATACTTAACAGACAAATGGATGCAAATTGTTATTCGTTTCGTTAATGTCATATTATAAAAAAAAGGAATTTCCCTTTACGCAAGCAAAAGCTTAATATGATAAATCTAATGTCATTGGCAATGCTGCAAAAATAAATTTGGCTAGCTTATTGTCTTCAAAATACGTATTTGCATAAGTTATTTTTTACGAGTAACAAAATTAGCATATTCGGTATTTGCAACCCGATGTGATAAATGTTTATGTAGATGTTATTTTAAAATAAATAATGGATATTTACATTTCTAAGATTGTCATTCCTTTTAATGTTATATATTATAATTGCGTTTAATTGTTTTATTGGTTGAGAAGTTCAAAATAAATAACCATGTTCAAATCATAGACATTTTCCAAAAGTCCTTTTTTAATATGTATTCTGAAACAAGGCGTATCAGAGATATATATGTTTCGCTCTTTTTTTAGAAAAATGGAAGACTAGTGAAGTTACCTTAGACGAAGTATTTAAGGGCTGTGTTCTTTTTCTGGAAGCCGCCATGTTGGAACCGGAAACGCAAGTGTGTGGCGCAATCGTTGTCTTTGACATGGACGGTTTATCCTTAGCACAAACCACAAAATTCACCCCATCTTTTGCCAAACGGATAGTAGACTGGTTGCAGGTAAATATCTGGTCAAATCGGTTTCTTAATTTGTTATATCCAATTATAAATTTCGTTTTAAGGTATTTTTAAAAAAGTTCAACATAACTTGCAGAAAATTATGCAGTTACTAAACTTTATTAGAAGTCTATTTCCATCATTTCTAAAATAAACCGTTAAGATATTCGGGGTCGGGATGTCCTTAGCAAGATGAATTCTTCCACAGCTCTGGCAATATCAATAACACAGAAAATTGTTTCAAATGAAAGTTGCTCCAAATAAAATTTTTTAGTTTACAGAATTCTGGGTAATATGAAATATCTTCGAAGCTAAACATGATAGCAAAATGTGATTTTTATAAATTGTTCAAACATCTTATCTTCTGCATTACTTTTTTTATATATTTGAAATAAAAAAATAGTACCTAATTAGGGACATCGAAAATTCAAAGCTTTTAATGAAGCATATTGTGATTATTTTTACTTTACATATCTTATTCTAAAAATAAAATTAACTACCATGTGTCTAACCATTACTTTGATACACCCTGTGTATATTAGCCCGCCTATAACAACACTTTTATAGGTACATTTTAACAAACGTGAAGTTTTGTAACGAAAATAATTAATAAAAAATAGAGAAGCTTTCCTTGTTTTCAATTTTGTGGACACACCGTATATAAAATACTTTTAGAACAATAACAATTTTGAAACGACAATGTCATAGGTGTTGACAGTCTGGTCATATTATACAGGGTGTTTCAAAAAAGTGTTGCCAAACTTGAGGGAAATATACATAGAGGACATTGTGGTAGAAAATTTTTGCATCTAAACCCATAGTCGGAAATGAGCCGTTTTGGCCCTGGAGCAATTTTCGTCCAAAAACGTAATGTTATTTCGTTGACTCCAAAAGGCTTCGATATTTAAGAAATTTTCATAGTATAACGCAAAAATAATAAATTTATAATAATGGTCCAAAACGCCTTGTGGTTTGGCAACACCTTTTTCAAACACACTGTAGATCATTTAAAAAAAAGGGACTCTCGAAATCCAGGTAACTTGGTTAGTTGCGTGTTAAGTGATGTTATCGACAGAAGCAAAAGTACAAGATATTTTTTTTTGAAATTTTACAATATTATTTAATGGTTATATTTATTATTATTAGATTAGATTTTATTTAGATAGTATATTTTTCATNAGTCTTTTTTATATCTCAAAACCATGTTGTACGAGAATCACTAAATTTGGTACACAGGGGTTTTATGACATGTGGAATCTCACAGTGCTACGCTTTTTGGCTTTGGAACCAGAAAATTTTATTCGCAAATTTGATTTTTTTAAATTACCAGAAAGCCATTGAATTTAGAAACTTTTTTCTTGATATTTGTTTCGTAAAACTCGATGATTTTGAGGAAAATGGCGAATCACGATATGCATTCGATCACATTTTGACATTTTTCTCGAAAATATTGCGTTTTACGAAAAAAGTATAAAGTGACAAAAAGTCTCTAAATTTAATAGCTTTCTAGTGGACTGATAATTTTTAAGAAATTTAAATATGCGACCAAATTTTTTTGGCTCCAAAGACAAGGGGGCCCATGAAAAATTGTCTTAAGGGGGTTCCCCGCCAAAAAACGTAGCACCATCAGATTCCACATGTCATAAAANTTTTATATCTCAAAACCATGTTGTACGAGAATCACTAAATTTGGTACACAGGGGTTTTATGACATGTGGAATCTCACAGTGCTACGCTTTTTGGCGAGAAACCCTCTTAAGACCCTTTTTCGTGGGCCCCCTTCTCGTCTTTGGAACCAGAAAAATTTGTTCGCAAATTAGATTTTTTTTTAAATTATTAGTTAGCCAGAAAGCCATTGAATTTAGAAACTTTTTTGTCTTGATATTTGTTTCGTAAAACTCAATGTTTTTGAGGAAAATGGTGAATGACGATATGCATTCGATCACATTTTGACATTTTTCTCGAAAATATTGTGTTTTACGAAAAAAGTATAAAGAGATAAAAAAGTTTCTAAATTTAATGGCTTTCTAGTGGACTGATAATTTTTAAGAAATTTAAATATGTGACCAAATTTTTTTGGTCCAAAGACAAGGGGGCCCACGAAAAATTGTCTTAAGGGGGTTCCCCGCCAAAAAACGTAACACCATCAGATTCCACATGTCATAAAACCCCTGTGAAATCCTTCCTTTGATTAGAATGTTGAAAACTTTTTAGAATTAATTTTAATTAATTCGGAAAAGTGATACTACTGTTGCACAATATTTTGTTAATAATTATCATCATCTATACTATAATATCATTAAATATTATAGAAATAATTAAGCTTAAAATTCAACTAGAGCCTAGAAAAATTTCTAATTCAATCAGTTTTCATGTTTTCATTAAAATTTGCAGCATAACTATTTGTCTTAATTAATTGTTGCTTGGTTATAGATAACCAAGATCTTTAAATTTGCAACACGCGTAGTACGGCACTTTTACATTTTCTAAAGTCATTGATTCTAGCAACATTTTATTTCTGTTATTATTTTCATACTTTATAATATTGAATGGTTGTTTTATCGAAATTTACCATAAAAAAACAGCTAAAAAGCTCTCCACAATATAACTTGAGTATTTTATTCGAAATTTTTGGTTTAATTAATTAATAATAATAATGATAATTTTTTTTTCATACTTAGATCGGCACAATAGACTGAAACATCAACAATGCTGTTAATGAGTTTTAATCTCAATTTTATTATATCCAAAATCTTTTTGACAGTTGTTTAAGATTTTGTAAACAGAAGCAGAATTTTAAATTTTCTGTGGGATAATACTTCATAATAATTTAAAATAGCCCTTTAGCTTCTGATTGTTACATTATAGGTATTTCTAAAAAAACTATATTTTTTATGAAATGTACTCGGTAACAGGCAGAAGATAGGTTTTTTCATGTATGGTGAAATGTTATTACGTGAGATAACTGATATTTTCGAGATTATTAAGAAAACATCAAGTAACACCTAAATAACACAACTTTTGTATCATTGTAGGTTTAAAATTTATAGAGAAATTAATGAATGCAGTTGGCTTACCCAGAAGAAACTGGGCACCATGTATAATCCAAAATAATTGTCAAATTGGTTTGAGGCAACGTTTACATATGTTCTACTGAATCATAAAAAAATTCGATTCACGTGCGACTACCTGTGTTATGTGTTATGCATTATGTCGTGATCATGCAGAATAGATAACATACAATTTGACGAATCAAATTAATAATGGTAAAGTAATACAATCTTTTAACTCATCAGTTATTCTAAAGACTAATTGGTATAAGGTCATACAAAGAAAACTAATGTTTACGGTTTGCCCGACAATTTGATTGTGTTTCATAACAGAAGCCTTGGGATGCACCGCACATGATAATTTAATTATTACAAACAGTTTTCGTAATTAATCTATTTGGCAATGTAGTTACCTGCACTTAGCAGTAAAAGTATGTATCACATTATCATTAAAAACTAGAAAAAATGTTATTGGTTATATTTTCAATCACTTCTCAATGTACAAAAATATGTGTATGTAACTTTCTGATTGAACGACGGTAAAAAGGATATATATGCATTCTATTTTACTTTCCAGGATAGCGTCCCGCTAAGGATAAAAAACATTCACATCGTAAATCAACCCTATATCTTCAAGATGGTATTCGCCCTCTTCAAACCATTCCTGAAGGAAAAACTTAGGAACAGGATTATTTTCCATGGTTCAGACCGCAAGTCCCTTCACCAGTACATAAGTCCCAAGTGTTTGCCGGACTGCTACGGTGGTACATTGGACTTGCCTAGGATCGACGGCGAGCAATGGTTGGAACTCTTGGAAAAATGTGATAATGAATACAAAGGTGAGTTTTGATAATGAAAATAATAGTGCATCTTTTGATATCTTCTAAATGTATGTCATTTGTAGACCCTCATGATCCTAGGGTTCTTTTTTTAAATTCTTATTCCTATAATTAGACTTTATAACTTTGATAGTCTCAATTTCACATAGCTTTCAGCTTCAGCTTCCAGTTTTTCTCTACCAAACAGAAAGCATATCCTGATAAGGCGTATCCAGTATTGTATGTCGTTCCTCTCTCTCTGTTAGCAAAACCTACGCAAGTTGTGTTTGGTCCAGATTAATATTCTCCAGAAGTTTCCTGAGTTTGCAACGTCTACAACGCTACTGTTATTTTTAATAGATGTACTATCTTGGTTCAATAATTTATCTGGAAAATGTGCTTCTTTCCATCTTCAATGAAGTCTTCTTTCTTTTCCAGATCGCCGTCATATTGAAAACTTTTTTTAACTAGGTACTCTAAATCTTCTGGTATACGTTGATCTTCTCACATAATGTGCGTCTTATGTCCCCAATCTTAATTCTATATCTTTGTTTTTAATGTTTCACATCTTGTTTCTGCAGAATGTCATAATAAGTCTCGCGAATATTTCATAAATTCAGCTGTTGGTGCTTCTGCTTACGCTTTCATTGGCTTTTCTTCCAGATTATCAGCAAAATAGCTTTGTCAAGTTATTTAGATTGTTTCTTTTCTAATAATTAAAATCAATGATTTTTTTAACTTTCCTCGATTTATATAGAAGTTTACAACTGAATATTTTCAATTTATTCTTACAATTGTGTACAAAAGAAAAAAACCAATTGTAATTGTAATCATCGACTAAGAGTATCCCCAGAATTTCTTCCACAATTCATAATAAAAATTCTTTTACTCAAGTTTTATTAATGAACTGTTTTATTTTCAGCTATTAACTCATATGGCTACAACAAGAAAGTAGAGGCTTGAGAAGAATCTTAGAAGTAAACATTCCTATTTTATAATTTTATATTGGGTGTGTCATAGACATTTAAACGTAATTTGTTTTTAAAGTGCGCTGGTTACGTTGTAGATTTTTGTAGATAGATAATCATTTTTTATATTTTTGTGATAATCAGATATTGTTACAATGAAAATCTATATAAAAATACATATATTTTTATTACTGTGTACTTATGCAACAATAAAGATTCCTACAGTTTTGTTTTAACAGATTTGTTTTGCATTTGTGTATTAGAAATGATAGAATGCGTCAAAGATAAAATGTCTATAATATAGAATATTTTGTCCTCGAGGAACATAACAAAGCTTTATTTCATTAAATAGACAAATCCATTTGTTAATTGGTCTTGAAAATTATTTCATCTTTTTTGGGATAAACACTGTCGCTGTGTTTTATTTTTTCACATGAAAGGAGTCACATAAAAACATTCTAAAGTCTGTACAACTTCGACACCATAATTATTTAAAAGTGGAGCAGTATTACAATAAATACTCTGCGGAAACAAACCAAGATTATAAAAAAGAAAACATATCTCCTCCTCAAACTTGAGATAAAAACAGATTTTAAAAATGAATTTAGGAGGTTTAGGTTAGTCCTTGAGAAGTTTCCTCAAAATGAGTTGAGTCTAGACGCAAACATCGAAACCTTCGTCTTTGTTTCGTCGTTGATTTAGACTTCTTAATATTTCGTGAGACATATTACCCTCTTCAGAAGAAATCCTATGACTCAAAACTCAAGAAGTCTAATATATCTGACATATCTGTAACATCAAACAATTGACTGATTTAATTTAAATAGACGCAGCAAATGTCACAATACCAAATAAGTGAAATCTTAAAACATATTTGTGATTTATATACATACACACAACTTTTATGGCCAAGTAGATGTTATCTACAGTGGGTGGCCAAATTATTAGGGACTCAGTTTCTTATATTTTCTTGTTTGACTGAATTTTTTGAACAAACAGTTGGTACTATAGCTTGTAGCTATTTTTTATTCAAAAGAGTGTATTATTAAGATCATAAAAATAACGAGTTACGTGGGAGAAACTATTAATTTTTTTCGTAAAAGCTATATATGGGCATCAATGGATCCGCTAAAATTAATCTTAGTATTTAGTAATGCACCCTTTGCCGCAATTAAAGCTTTTATGTCTCGAAGCATGCTCTCTATACAGACTTTACAATTCTGTTGGAGTTCGACGTTGTGATGCCATTCTCTAATGAGAGTTTCAACCAATTGGTGCTTGGTGGTGTTCAGCTCATTAGCAATCGTCCGTTTGGTGAGTCCCCACATGTTCTCCATAGGGTTCATACCCAGTCAGGGCAACATGGTAATGTTTTTTCGGCCAGGAATACACTAACACTCATGGCTTTGTGGCTCGGTGCCGAATCGTGCATAAAAATGAATTCGGCATCACTAGGGAACCATTCTTCGATATGTGGCAGTAGCCGGATTTTTTGTACTCGTTTGTACGGATCCTGTCTCATGATCCCCTCCACGATATATAGGCGTCTTATGCCCTTTGCTGAAATCACAGACCATACCATGACACTAACCGGGTATTTAACCATCACCACAAGGCAGTCTGGATGGAACTACTCTCTCCAAGACGTCATCGGAGAAATGAAGTTTTATCGACCAAAATTTGAAACGCAGATTCGTCGGAAAATACTGAGATAATAAAAAAAAATCTTTATTAACACTATTTTAATTAGTATTTCCAATCGAATGCAGTCAGCAAGAGTTATATTCTGGAGTTATTGGGCCCATTGCAGCCGCATCTTCTTCATGACCTCCATCAGAAGTGGTTTTTGGGTCGACAACGACCGATCAGGTTTTCTTCTGCCAATCACCTTCGGACTGTCATTTGGGAAATTACAATTCCTTCATTGTTTATTATAGTAATTCTATACGAAATATCAATAACGTTTTGATAATTTGTAACAGGAAAAACTCACGAAAAACGATTCAGAAACATTTTTTAGCATCTCACTGTAACAAAATTTTTTAACAAATTACCACCATATGAAAAGTAACCTCATTTATCTGATAAATGATGCAGAATATCAGGTTGCCACTCAACAAAAATATTAATAACAGTACCAGCTGCAATACAAAATAAAAAAACCTTGTGAAGACCAATTTGTTTTTTCAAAAAAAGAAATTGAACTAGAAACTTCATAAATATGAGTACTGTCCCTAATAATTTGGCCACCCACTGTATATGGATTTTACAAAAGCATTTAATAAAATTGAACATGCTTTTCCCTTGAACAAGCTGTATTATTGTGGATCCAGTATCTCCTACATCGTTTAAGTACATCATACTTTAATCACTGCCTACTGTCCAGTTTCCTAATTCTTAGAAGTTGAGTAGCATCTTTCTTACACTGAAGAGTGATGTGATGATGTAACTAATATATCAAATTGCAGACCAATTTAAATTATCCCCAGTACTAAGATGCAATGCTTGCTAAGATCTTGGAGATATTTGTTTATAGTTACAGGTATCAATCTATAAAAAAGTTACTCCCTACACAACTGCATGGATTCTTAGAGAAACAAATACCGATAACTAAGTTGGTATTGATGACACAAGATTTAAGTGAAATACTCGATCTTAGAAGCCAGGCTGATGTGGTGCATACAAATTTCTCTTGACACCACAAATTGGGGAACTTCAGATTCTCGATTTCACGAATACAGTTTTTAGGACTGTTTGTTTAATCTTACTTTTTAGGTGTTGATGACAAAGAGCATCATTTCATCAAACGAAAATTATAAAAAAACTTGATTTTATTAGCTTTTAAAGTAAAGTAAAAATAAAAAAGCTAGTATTAAAAATTTTGTCAAAAAAATTGTTTGAAGCAGACTTGCGGACTGTTAGTTCAAAGGACCACATGCGGACCACGTGGTGCTCACCCTTGTTTTGCACGTTTTCTGCAGAAACAACTATTAAAGTTTAGAACAAAATTTGAATTTAACCTCACCTCAATCTTAAATATGAAACGCACTATTTCAAACCGTGATACAAAAACTAAAAGATATGATACTGCGCATACCCGCGGCCTTGTTATGACGTCACCTGGAGATTTAATAGAGATTTATGGATAGTCTCTGTGTTGGACTGCTGGGCAATACCGTTAGTATTCTAACCTATCTCTTAGTTTGGCTTTCGTGTAGTATACGTTACAGTGATGTCAATTTTATATTCACCTTTATTGTATGTGTTTGTATTGATCTATGTAAAACTTTTGATTGCTGCGATGATTACCTATTAACATTGTAGTCTATTAGCAATGACTTCTTAGAATGCATTTTTCTATTTTTATAGGGGTATGGTATGCAAATATTTTGGTATCAAAACCATTTTTTATTTATTGATGAACTACTAAAATCACTCTCGACGTGACGTCATCTGCCAAGTGATCCAATCTTCGTTCACGGGAATGTCATATCTCATAGTTTTCTTATCATGATTCCAAACTAAAGCTGAAATAAATAAAAATAAAACAAGAGAAGGCCTGATTTTTATTTTATTCGAATACATTTAAAATAAATATAAATAATAATAATTTTTAAATATAAAAAACTAGATTATACTTTTTTGGAAGTCATCTTTTATAAGACGCCTCTGAATCTAAAATTATGCGCCCTACGTTAGTTAACTCTGTCGTAAATGTTATATCTATCATTATTGGCAACGGTTTCAAAAATTATTTAAATATGGTATATACTCGTATAACTTTCTATAGACTAGGCTTGTATTTAAAAATATATGGCAGCTCCATACGTAATACAGTTGTAGCTGTTCAGTTTCTTGCAAATCAATTTTCTTGCGCTTTCTCTTTCTTGGTGACATATCCATATGTGTTGAATACTACAACAGAAATAAGACATCTTAATAAAATTAACATTTTCTTCCTAACACAAAAAAACACTTGGGTAAGTAACTAATGAGATCAGTTTCACTTATTTCTAGAAAACATTGCGTTTTATGAAAAAAGTATCAAAAGACAAAAAAGTTTCTAAATTTAATGGCTTTCTAGCGGACTAATAATTTTTAAGAAATTATATGCTATATGCTACCAAATTTTTTTAGCTTCAAAGATATATCTAAAACAAGGAAAGAAACTAATAAAATAATTCAAATTAGCCAGACGACAATATGTAGTTGAATAATATTTTCGTCATGAATAATAATTTATGGCCATTCATTTAGGTACATAGATTTTCTATGCGTTTAAAACTGTTAAATAGTACAATAAATGACAATACCAAACTGTTGTTTTGGTAATCATTTTGAATTTTCATAGAAATCTATAATTTTAACAAATATGTACACAATAATGGGTTTTATGTTTAACAATTTTTGACTCAAAAATTGTTAAAAAAATTGATTCTCAGAAATCGTTATATTTGTAGACATCTTTTAACACATTACAATATCAATATATTAATTATATAAATTTAAAGCTGTCAACTTTTAGAATAAAAATCACGATAACACTCTATCATAATGTATAAGGTGTGTTCCAAAGTAAACAGGACATTCAAAAAAATAAGAGCAAAAAATGTTATTTTTTTAATAAAACTGTTTTATTCTATTCAATAGATGGCTTTTACGTCCACAAAACGCTTTCCTTTAATCGGCAAATGCATTTTTCCGAAAAGGTATAAGTCACACGATACCAAATCAGGTGAGTACGGGGAGTGGTTGGCAGTTAAAATGCGATTTTTGGCCAAAAAAACGGTCACAATTGTCGATCGATGAGAGCATTATCGTGCAACAAACACCAACATCCTTCTGCACGATATTCTCGCTGAATACGTTGAATACGATGCACTAAACGCTTCAAAATACCAAGATGGGACGAACTCTCCAAATGAGATTTTTGGTTCGTCTGGCGCCTTCCACTCGGCACTTTGGCGCTTGGTTTCTGGATCATATTGAAAACACCACGTTTCATCCCCATTCACAATGTTATAAATGAAGTTTTTGTCTTTTTTTGGCCTCCTTGATGATGCCCTTTGAATGTTGAATTCTGAGCAATTTTTGGTGTTGAATCAACAAACCATGCGCACACTTTTCGATAACCCAAATATTCTGCCAAAATGCTATAAATTGATGTTTTTGAGATGCTCAATTCCAATTCCATGAATTTTAATGAAGATTTTGGCTGACCTTTGATGAACTCACTCATAGTTTTGATGGAATCTGTGGTAATCATGGATTTTGGTTGACCAACATGATGCTCAGCATTTTAATTTATGTCCTCACGACTGTTTTTAAACCGCGTATACCACTCATGGACTCTGACACAGGATAAACAATCATCACCATAAACTTAGTAAAAATTAGTTTAAAACAAAACTTAAAATTAGCTCTTTGTTCGATACTCATTTTTGTACCGATTACAAAAACATTTTATATATAACTCCACTTCTATTCGTCCAAATGTCATGAAATTTTGACAGTACATCAGTCAAGGATCTACCTTTCTGTCACATGTAATTGGCAATAGATGACCTCCCTAGAAATACCTACTTTTCAAAGGTCCTGCTCACTTTGGAACGCATGTACAGCTTACGTGGGACTAATGTGATTGTAATTACAAATTTTATTTTCTAAATACTAAAATTACTTATTTTTAATATTAAGAATAAAAACTACATCAAAATTGTAGAATGTAACTAAAATTGTAACTAAGAAATAACTAAAAATGAATAAAATTGGACAATAAACCTATCGCCTACAATTTCTCACCAATTTAATTTTTTGATCAATTTATCAATGGATCAATAATTGGTAAACTTACCTTCAAAGTCTCTCTCGTAGAAGAATAACATATCTGAAAACAAACGTCCTGGAAAATCTGGAATATCGGCAGTTCCTCCATAATATGGTGGCAAGCTTTCCTCAGAAATTTTTTCGGTCAGTGACTTTTTATCGGTTCCATGAAAAAATAACTGAAACAAAGTATCCTTTCAAAGTCTTCATGAACAAGATGTAATAATTTTGTCTTAACAATACTTAGAAGCGTGCCAATAATTTAAACCCTTAAAATACAAAGAAATTTACTTTACACTCACGCATTCTCTTTGGTCTACTTTTTACTTGTCTTGTCTTGTTTGAAAGTGATTTCAAAATAAATTATGTACAGGTGTTAAGTTTTCAGTGACATGCTCAATGAAGTGAAACACTATAATACTTACACATTTTTTTAATTTCTCGCCTAGGAAAGGTTTGAACATTTGGTAAAGAATGTTAAATATATATGGCTGGTTTATCAAATGGATTCCTTTCAGCCTTACAGGAGCGCAGTCCTGAAAATTTTCAGAAATTTAATATTTTCACAGAGACATAATTTTAACTACAACACAACATTCGTTAATTGCTTTTCGTGCATACACTGTAAAAAAATTTCACTAAACTTTCACTCAATTTTACTCAATAATGTATCAATTTCTGTCCACATCTGACTGAGTGAAAATTTCACTCTATTAGTACGAGTACAACTGCATCAGAAATCAGTGAGTTTTACTCAAATCCGAGTTACTGCTAACTATCAATTGAGTGACTTTTGAATCTATTCTGAGTATATAAAACCAATTTAGAGTTGACTTTTTCACTAATATGACTTAAATATTTAACTATTATTGAGTAATTTTTTACTCAGACTTCGTGTATACCCTCTTTACGTTTTAATTTAAACATCATTGTATTAAAGTCATAATCTACTAAGCTGCCACAGTGGTTCCTACACAGATCTATTTTAGAGACAATATTTTAGGTCTCGATTAAAGGAATTGGTGAACTGATCGGACGAATAGATTGCCATAACCTATATTTTACGTTACAAATACGTAATTATAGATTTTATTTAACCCAATATTAATCGAGACAATACACTGTCTTTAATTATTCTAATTAAATCACTGGATTTAAATACAATTTCCACTAGAATAACCAGATAAACCGATACTTGTCCAACTTCAAAGCACACCATACTCCATACTGCCATCCACCACGCCACGGTCACGAGATATCCTAATGGGACTATGGGAACAGACAGAGACAATGCATCAGTAATGAGGGCATTTACTCTGATTTAGGTACGAGTGCACCAAATACGAGTTTACGTGAGGAATTTATTTAAGGAGTACCTATATTTGAGTGAAAGTACTCAGTTTTAGTTTAAATATAATCACAAATGAGTAAAATGATAAAATGCCCAATATTGAATGAAAATGTACTCAATAATTTCACTCAATGGATTCACCCTCAACTTTTATTGCTTTCACTAGCACCGATTTTTTTACAGTGTAAGACTGTCATCCCAGAAATAAAGGTGTAACGAGTGAGGTTCACATTTATCAAATATCTACAGAAAAAATTACTCTGGAACAACTCTTAGTCAGCAAAATATTGATTCGGTGGTTCGGATATGTTGACGATATCTAACTCATACAGGAGCTGCTACTTAAAACTTCCCAGGTCTGTGTATATGTCAATGTCAAGCGTTCTTAACTAAATTTTTAATTTAAAAAAAAATCAAACCATTATGAGAAAAATTTGTCTGCAGGGATTTTTTTTAACACCAGTATTAGAGTAAAATTGTAATACCTAGATATTTTAGTAGATAGTTCTAAACCTACCTGTACCCAGTCAAGTATGAGTTTGGCAGTTTGTGGGGAAAACTGACAGATATGAACCAGAGAAAGACCTGCCAAATCTATAATCACGTGAACTCCCGCCAGTTGAGTTTTTGGTTCTAGCATAGCTATTTCTATAGTCACCATCACAGCTTTAAACATGTCTTCCAGTTTTACTTCCTTGGGATTCCATTTAGCTGTAATATTCGTAAATTTACAAAATAGTTGTTTTGATATCTAACGGTGTTTTTATGATTAGTTCACAGTTCATATCCTGTTTTCTAATTATTATAATACATAGTCAATGACACAAAATTGAAATTTTGCTTGCCAAATATGTTAATACGGCGGAAATTACAAGGTCAATTTATAAATAAACAAAAACTAGAAATAGGAAAAGAGGAATGAAAATTCAACAGAAAAACTTCACTCTAGCATATTTCAGTTTATTTATTTGTTTATATAAAAGTTGTACAGAATCAAGAAACCTAAACTACAAAATTAATTTCAAACATACAGGGCGATGAGTAAAAACGGGACATGCCAAATATTACATTTTTTAAATGGAACACCCTGTATATTTTTAAACAGTTAGATTTCTGAGAAAATTCTATATATGGCAATATAAACAGTTTATCATTTTAGTGCGGGGTTGCCAAGTTATGTAGAAAATTCTTAGAATTTTGGAAAAAACATGACCTCAAAGAAGTTGTATTAACTTACAACTACTAACACTTGGAGCAAAAATATTTGACAGAGTTATAGGCAAATGTTATACAAAGACTCCTATATTACCTAATATCGATATTTTTAGAAAGTTCAAACTTGATTTTCTAACATTTTTCAAATGAGACACCCTATATTTTATTGTTTTATTTTATTCGCATATCACTCCACTTCAACTTTTATTAAGCATGTTCTATACCTAAAATTGTTAGTTTTTAAGATATGGCACATTTCTGAAAATACTTAATTTTTATTATTTTCGGTCGCACGAGATGGCTTTGGAAAAAACTGTCACATTGTGTCAACTTGTCAGTTCATAATTTACCATTCCATTTTGCGTTCATTTTATTAGTTTATTAGTATCTATTAGTTATTTATTAGTTGGCATTCATAAAATAATTTTATATTACAATGAATTTTTCTAAAGAAAAAATGGTGAATATGATTTATGTATTGGGAGCTGCTGATAGAAATTGTTTACTCGCAACAAGAATTTATAATCCGAGACATCCAGATAGAAGACAACCACGTGCAAATACCTTTGAAAAATTAATGGTACATACTACATTTTGAAACTACTGGCAATGTTTCTTAGGAAAAACATGATGGAAAAATACTATTGTGGATGATGAGAATGAACTAAATGTTCTGTTAAGTATTACTGAAGATCCGCATATAGTCACTAGAGCAATTTCAATGCAAACAGATATAAGCAGGACATCGGTAAGGCGGATTTTAAAGAAGCACAGGATGCATCCATATCATATCCAGTTTCACCAAGAATTGAATAACCACGACTATGAAAGTCGCTTGGAATTTTGTAATTGGGCCAGAGAAAAATGAATGAAGATAGGTTTTTTTTTTAATTGTGTGCTTTTTACTGATGAGGCAACGTTTCACAAAAATGGAAGCGTGAACAGAAACAACTTTCATTATTATGCTTCTGAAAATCCGTTGCTTATAAGGACAAATAGTCAAATCCGGTGATCACTCAATGTTTGGGGCGGGATTATTGGACAATACGTTATTGGGCCTTATTTTTTCGACGAACATTTAATATAACTATATCTTCATTTTCTACAAAATACTATGGAAAATTTATTAGAAAATATACCGCTAAATATTCGTCAGAGGATGTGATATTTATATGATGGAGCCCCTGTACACCACATGCAGAAAGTTCGTAGATTCTTAAACAATGAATTTCCAGAAAAGTGGGTTGGAAGAGGTGGACCAATTAGTTGGCCTGCTAGGTCGCCTGATCTGACAAAAATGGACTATTTTCTATGGGGATATGTAAAAGATCGGGTATATCAAACTCCCCCTACTACTAAAGAGGATATGAAAAACCGAATTCGACCGAGTTTTTCAAAATATCAACATTGATATTCTGAATACTGTTAACACCACATTTGAACGACGTGTAGAGCTATGTCTAAACCAAGACGGCCGTCATTTTGAACACTTGTTGTAAAATTAAATATTTGATTTATTTTCGTATCTATTTTGTTATTTTATTTCCATTTAATAAATAAACTATGTTGTTATGTTCTATTATAGCTATTTATGATATACGTGTTAAAAGTAAGATTTTATTTTGTGAGTGAAGATGATTAAAAAACGAGCGTAGCGAGTTTTTTAACTTCACGAACAAAATAAAATCACTTTTAACACGTATATTATACACTATTTTTTCTACAAAACTGTTAAAAATGGGCTTTTTAATTGTCATTTTTGATGTTAAAAATGTCATTTTTTGACACGCGTGTTAAAAGTAAGTTACTTTTAACACTAGTGTTAAAAGTAAGTTTGTGTATAGAAAAGATTTTTTTATACACAACTATGTAGTATAATTAAATTATTTTATAGTATAGACAAGTTGACACAATGTGACAGTTTTTTCCAAAGCCATCTCGTGCGACCGAAAATAATAAAAATTAAGTATTTTCAGAAATGTTGCCATATCTTAAAAACTAACAATTTTAGGTATAGAACATGCTTAATAAAAGTTGAAGTGGAGTGATATGCGAATAAAATAAAACAATAAAATATAGGGTGTTCCATTTGAAAAATTTTAGAAAATCAAGTTTGAACTTTCTAAAAATTATCGTCTTATAAAAAAATGCCCTGTATAAAATATCGATATTAGCTAATATAGGAGCCTTTGTAAAACATTTGCCTATAACTCTATCAAATATTTTTGCTCCAAGTGTTAGTAGTTGAAAGTTAATACAACTTC